GAGTCAGACAGGTTCTGTGTGAAGATGATTTGAGAGACATTGGAATGTGTTTTTCTAAATGCTTTGAGAATGTTTTTCTGAAACCGTTACAGCATGGTTGGAGATAGAGTTGAAGGTCGAATCAAGGGGCCCATGGAAGACTCAACATTCTGAGCTAAGTGGAGAAGAGATCAAACACCTGGACTCTCGTGGGAATTAAGGGAGGAGGAAGGTGTTATATCCCCTTGAGGCTAATTGGTTAACAGCCAGAATTGTCAAGAAGAAGGGAGGAGTTAGAGAGTGTAGAAAATGGATGATCAATTATGTGAAAGAAGTTTTGTTCTGGGATTTGATTCCATAATGATGGGAGAGAAAGAAACTTGATTGAGAGAGGATGCTAAGTAAAGAGAAAGAAATAGGTAGAGCTATCCCACTGTAGCCCACCTTAGCCTAGCTTGGTAATGTTTATTATTTTAATGGGAAATAGTTATTTTATTTAACTGTAATAATCATTGAATATGTTCTTTATGCTAAAGTTTGTGCAATATAAACTGATTCTATGAAACTCTATTTTTCTAATGAAAATCAATTATAAAAATTCTTACAAAAGGACTGGTCTCTTGAACAGCAGGGTCTGGCTAAATCCAGGGAGTGGAGAGGGCCACAAACTAGCTATCTTTAAGAGTCCTACCTAACTGAGCTGTTGTGAGTTCTAAGGAATCACAAAGCCCATGTGTCTGTACTTGCAAAGTACTGGGTAAAAGTCAAGTGTTCTTTTAAGTTAAGACTTGTTCAAAGGGCTTACACTATGCACTGCTGAAGTCTTGGGACTTGCCCCAGCGCAAGGGTGGTAGGTAAGTGGCCTGTCAAATTCTCTGACTGAATGCTAAGTGCTCCTTAGGGAGACTAGAGCATCACATAGGTTACTTCTAATTTCCCCAGAAGGGACTGCTTTAAACTGCGGAGATTCACAATGTGTGGGAAGTATGGCTGGTAAAACTCCCAGATACTCCATGATTTATCACTTCTGACTTAACAATCCATAAAATGAGCCTGAGATTAAAATTTTTATTTGTAATTTATAGAACTGACTCAGCCCTAGAGCCTAGTTTTGTCCAATGTATTGTTTTGCTTTGTAATATTTTTATTAAAAGAGAGAGAATCACAAAACCTCCTTAAAGCAGCTGTTCAGGAACTTAAGAATAACTTGTTCAGAAAAAAAGTGATTTGATAATGCAATGTCCAACATTTATGAAAATAAAAACAAACATAAGCCACGTAGAACATATTTAACATTAAGCCAATGATTCCCTTGCAGGAATGCTGCAAAAGGCAGAAGGAGCAACTGTGTGAAAAATTTGATTATTTGTACTCTGTATTGGAAGAAAGAAAAAGTGAGATGACACAAATGATCACTAGGAACCAAGAGGAGAAACTGGAACGGGTTCGATCTCTGATAAAAAAATATGCAGACCATTTGGAGGCTGTATCAAAACTAGTGGAATCAGGCATCCAATTTATGGAAGAGCCAGAAATGGCAGTATTTTTACAGGTAACTTAACTGGGGAAACAGAGAATCTTGCCAATCCTGATTACCATCTCATGTGTCTTTACTTATGCAATGACCATCCACACAGATTGGATCCTCTTTTTAAGAAATCGCTGATTATAAATTATAATTTCAGTGTCTGTCATGTTCTGCTCAGCAATGCATTTTGTGTAATATCTGACTGAAGAGAGCTGAAAAATATCATTTTATTAATTCATCTTCAGTCTGTCACAGGGCACTATTGTTTTTGCCATAACAGGTGGACATTTCTAACACTTCAGTGTCCACTTTTGTCTTCTTTTTGGGTGATGTGTAAGAGACATAAAATGAGCATAAAAATAAAGAAACAAAACTGCTGGCTAGCATGGCTCTCCAAGGAAAAAGTTAAAAGGTACAATGAAATTACAATTTACTTCAATGATTATTTAATGGAGTGTGAATGCAGACTACTGCCTAGAAAACAGGAGGTATGGTGAAGTATATCATGAGACACAGTTTAGAGAAACAGCTTTGGTTATGTCATGTTTTGTCATCATGATGTTCCTTCTGTGTGACCGAAACATAAATGCCTCTCACTCTGTCTTTTTGAAACTTTAATTTGATTCAAATTTTAGTTGGAGTCTCCATAATCTTTATATTATCAAATATGCATCCTTCTAAAAATACAACTTTTTGCTTTTCCCACACATTGCTAATGGGGAAAGGACTAAATTACATGGTAAAATCAGATGCTTCATATGGGCACACATCTCCATTTCAGAAAGCCACAGCTTCTGCATCAGAAACTAATGAATCTCTTTTATTCCTGAATATGACAGCTCTGCAAAGAGATGCCAGGACATTGTAGCATTTCTTATGTTTGCAGTTTTGAGCTGGGAACTTCACCCACACCATTCTATTCATAGACCTCATGGATGGAGTCAAGGCTGGGATAGCCATCATGTTAACTATGTTACAACTTAGGGTTCCAGATCACCTGAATTCAGTAGAATTAGCTTGGAGTTTCCCAATGTGAAAAGTGTACTTGCCCTGCTCCTTTATCAGCTTACAACACACTCATGTCACATTACCTGACAGCAGAGCAGTGTCAATATTTACAGCTTCAAAGTAAATTCAGAAAGTTGGTAGTATACTATTGCGTCATCACCTAAGGCAGTGGTCCCCAACCTTGGGGCTCCAGATGTTCTTGGACTGCAACTCTCAGAAGCCTTCACCACCATCTCTGCTGGCCAGTATTTCTGGGAGTTGAAGTCCAAGAACATCTGGAGGCCCAAGGTTGGGGACCACTGATCTAAGGAACAGAATGGCTGTGCCTTCTAGACTGAGGAAAATGCACAGACCAGGGTGTAGCAGACAGATACAACAGGTACCTCCACAGGTGTGACTTGCAATGTTACCTTATGGCCAAAACTGTACAGAATTTATAATCATGGTGAGAATTCCAACAGTGGTATTTACAAAGCATATGTTTTAGCAATCTATATAATAATTAACCTGTGTGTGAATGTCTAAAACAGAAAAGGAGAAATGACACATTAAGATGTAATTTAATTGATTGGCTATATTTTGTTTTTTCACAGAATGCCAAAGCATTGCTTCAAAAGTAAGTTCCTTCTTTTCAGAAAATGTGTTTTGCCACATTTATTATAAGCCATCAATTTTCAAAAGGTTCGTCTGCACACTCTGATGCAAATGACACAATACACTGTTTCTATTTTAGAATTAGTGAGGCCTCTAAAGCATTTCAAATGGAGAAAATAGAAAATGGCTATGAAAATATGAGCCACTTCACAGTCAATCTCAACAGAGAAGAAAAGATCATAAGGGAAATTGATTTTTACAGAGGTATGTGTTTCTGTTTCTGAAACCCAATTGCTCTTAGCTGTGGCACAATTTTCATGAAGACCTCTTGTCAGAAATATGATGGAGAAAACCTTTCTGAATTCCACAAATATAACAAGGCCATTTTACATGCCTCATAATCTAAAGTAAACTATAATGAAAGTTAATATAACATGTTGACACTACTGACAATAAAATGGTTTTTTTAATAGAATCTGGGGCATTTAGCATTCATGTTATATCTAGCCATAGAGTCTAGTATTCTGTATTCACCAGAGCTATTAACCTTTGTCTGACCTAGTTGTACACGTTATGGCTCAGTAGAACCATAGCAGGTATTATCAAAAGAGATGCATAGGAGAATATTTTCTTTAATAAAGGTGCTTCCGATAAAGATACTGTATTCTGGATTAAAAAAAAAATCCATGTGCTACTTATCCTATGCATTCATTTCAAAAGTTTCTAGAAGCCCTTGTTTATGGAGAAAGCAGTTTATGATCAAGCTTTACAGAAAACAACACTATGTTAACTGTTGAAAATGTTAAAAATATTCCCTCAACATTGGGCTGAAGATTTTTTTAAAGGATCTGATGCACAGAAATGGTCAGGAATTTCCTAGGCTGCTAATGGGTCTGTCCTGAAAACTCAACCTGGATTTTCAAATGTTGATAGAGAAAAATTGTTACTTAGTGCTGGCTTTGTGTTTACAGAGTACACACATTTTATTTTAAAGGAAGCTAAGTGTTGTAGTTCCTCTTTGTGTTACATTAGAGGAGGAGGAGGAGGAGGAAGAAGAGGAGAAAGATGTGGCTGAAGGGGAAGATCTGGATGAAGTACACACAGAATCATCTGGTGAGGAAGAGGAAGTATCTGAGCAAACATCTCAACAACCTCAGCAGGACACTGTGCCAAAAGATATACTTCCCATCTCTGAGACTAACCTAGCACCACCTCCACCATCAGTTGATGCTGCTACTTCACTTAATCAGGTAACTACCTGGAAGAAATCTTGTTTCATCAGCTATGTGACATGTCTTCTCCCTGTTCTAGCCTTCCTGTTGGTCAAAAATACAGAGAGGTCGTTCCTGAGTAGATTGCACATGCCATCACTTTGTACTGGGATGAAAATGGAAAGTGGTGTTAGGCTATAGCACTAGACACTGTTTTTAAATCTTCAGTAGGAAGGAAGGAAGGACACAGGGAAGGAAGATATACATGAATTCACATTCTGTACTTTGGTTTTTATAGATTTGGCTTTTTTCTTAATATTTATTTAAATCTTTTTTATTAAGGGTGAAAGTTTGGTGGCTCCTACTCAGCAACCTGCAGGACTGGTGCAAGCTGAACCGCAAGCAAGTGGAGAACCAACAGATCCTTTGTTTTATCCTAGTTGGTACAAAGCTCAACCACGACAAACAAGCAATTCCAATACATCCCCAGGGACCGAAAATAGGCAGGTAGGGCCTTGCATTCCTGTAGAGGTGAATGTAAAGAAGGCAGAAGGTCCAGGAGTAGCTACTGCGAATGGGAGTTCTGCTGTGAGTGGTAAGGAAGCTAACACACCTACAGATACTTCACAGGTTAGTATATAGTCTCCAAATATATCATATTTCATCAGGATTATTCTTGATATGGAAAAGTGGAAAAATCTGCAGGTGGATTATTAACTTTTTATCATTTGCCTGGTAGAATATTAGTGAAATCAAAGACAAGAAGAGAGAGAGAGATGATTTAAATTTGAATTGATGGTCACATTCTCCAAGTTCGGCAAAATTACTGTAAATCAGCAAACCAGACATTATTTTTACAGTGGTACCTCAGCAATGTTTGGTTTACAAATGAAAATCCATTGAAAATAAAGCTTCCGTTTAAGAGTTTTTTTCCGCAATACGAAGCATGTTTGCATTGCGCCTGGGAGGCGATGGGGACAATGGGAAGGGGGCACAAGCAATGGATGCCTCTCAAAAAGCAATTTTTAAAAAATTAATAAAACCCTGAAAATCACTAAAACGTTGTCCACTCATATTCATCAGGATCATCATGTTTGACAAACACAAATAGATGAATTAGCGATTTTTGACAAATGTTTCCTTTGTGCCTATCTCTAGTCGTAACTAACAATTTGGGCATCTGGGGCAAATAGCACAGTTTCCCACTATCTCTACCTTGTTGCATGGGTGTGAGCCCTCCCTTCCGTCTCAGAAAAAGGGTGAAAATGTGGTGCGTTCAAAAAAAGAATAAAAGGATCTGTGCTTAAGAAAGAGATTTAGAGAGAGAGAGAGAGAGAATAGGGTCTCAAGGTGTGAACCTTTATTTTTCTAATATTCATTAGTAAATTCATCTCTTAATTTTAGTGCCTTCTAACTTTCGGTGCTCTGGGGTAAAGACCCAGTTGCTCTAGTCTAGTTACCGGCATGTTCAAGAAACTTATCTGCCTGCCTGCCACTGTTATTTTCCTTTTTTAAACTCCAGACACTGTCTGCACCTCTGCCAACAAGAAGGCAACACAAAGGCTCCTCCTCCTCGTTGCTGTTGTCACTTATTACTGCTTTGAAAGGGCAGGTGAAGAAGCAACAACAGGGAGAAGGACGAGCAGAGCCAGGAGGAACGGTTGAGGCTGAGCTGCCAAAGGCCCTCTGCAACATTGTGGGCCTTGGCAGCTGCCCAGCAATGCTGATCATTGAAGCAGGCCCTGCTTGCTGCCAACCCAAGACAGGTGTGTGTATAACTGCTCTCTTTATTTATTTATTTAATTACAAGATATTTTTTAGCTGCGCCATTACCAGTGGTCTCTGACCGGCGTACAACAATATTAAAACTTTTAAAACATTAAACCCATTAAAAATAGGCAATATCCTAATAATATCCTATATTAAAAACAATTATTAGAACATTAATATTAATAAATCCTGCTGCTCTACAGTGACTCTGACAAAGTAGTTGGCACAGTGGTGATATTAAGAGATATGGCTGAGTTCCAAAGAATGCACAAATAGCCTCATGTGCACAGCAAAGCTTTTGGCTTAGATATCTCAATTATCACACACACACACACACACATACACACATATTGTTCAGAAACAACTTCTGAGAGGCAGGAGAGTTCTTGATGTGGCAAATAGTGCATTTTATGAGCCCTGGAATGTATAAATAGCTGTTTGATCCTGTTCTGTGTCAGTAAAAAACTAGCTTTGGGGGGGGGGAGCTCTGATCTGCTTATGTACAAGGTTAATTGGGATCTTAAAAAGTTTCAATGGCCAAAATATAATACATTCAAATTCCTGAAGAGCAATGGAAGATTCCATTGGTTACAGTCAACCAGCCTCCATCTTTAAATCAAATAAATCCTGTTTCATTCTGCAACTGTTAATGAATGTGCAGTTGTTTGCTTCCAATATGATTAGACAACCATATCAGACAGACCCGCTTAGGAATAGGCCTTTGCCCTTGTTTAGTCTGTACTGTACATAACCTGATTTATAACCCCATTTGGTTTCTTTTTTATGACTGATGTAATTGCAAAAAAAAGCATGGTGTGTTGTTAATTAATTTTGCATTTGCAATAACTTCTCCAGTGAATTTTTCTGACAATATTTGTGCTGTGGTCATAAAACAGTCCCGTACAGTGGGTTAGATTCAGACTAACGCTGAGCAGAGTATCACTCTGGAAGAAGGGGCAGGAAGTGAATTTTTCCCTTCCTTCCAATTCCGCTCCTGGCTCCTGTGCCAGCTGACAAATTGCTCTGAAGGCTGAGGTCCATTCAAAACACTGAAGGATGTATTGGGGTATGGAAGAGAGAGGGGGACATGATGGAAATCTTGTCTGTTTTCCAACCTCTCCTTCTGAATTGGGAGTCTCCACTGGATCCCTGATCCCCTCATGAAAAAAGGAACACTTCCATTCGTAGAAAGGCCAGTCTGGGTCTAGCCTGATGAAATTACTGTAATACATGCTAGGCCTACATTGCAAGAGCTATCCTACACATACTAACATGAGAGTAAGTTACATTATGGCCAAACAGCCGTATTTCTGAACAATCTGTATTGGATTTTACACAATACAGTCATCATTGCAATCTTAAGTACCATAAATCTGATTCTTGATAATATTGATGTAGATGACATTTTGAAATTCTTGCTTATTGAAATTCAGTAGGTGATACATCACAAAGAGAAGATTTCATCCACTGTCACTCACTTCTGTCAAATCTCCTCATGAAATCTACTGTATTTTAAGACTAAACACTCAAGGAGCCACCCACTAAATTTAATATTGACAAACTTACTCCTGCATGTGTGAGGCCTTGAGACTTTATTTATCTATTTATTTATTTATGTATACACTAAATTTAATATTGACAAACTTACACCTGCATGTGTGAGGCCTTGAGAATTTATTTATTTATTTATTTATTTATGTATGTATTTATGTATTAATGTATTGATTGATTGATTGATTGATTGATTGATTGATTGATTGATTGATTGATTGATTGATTGATTGATTGATTTGGTCTACAGCTTCCAGAATCTTTGAGTGAGCATGCTTAGTGGTCGAGCTGGCCAGGGGATTCTCAGAGTCAAAGTCCAAAAAGTAACTTTTTCCAAGTTCTGCTTAAAACCTACAGTTTTAAAATATTTACTAACTCATAACATAAACATTTTACAGGTGGAAATAGTGGTGTTTTATTTGTTCACATTTTGACCCCAAGAACATTACACAAAAGTGCATCTTATTGATACCATAGGCATGCAGTATAGATTGTTTCAAGACTGAACGGTAAGCTGCCAGGCCAAGAGCTGGGAATAAGGCATTCAGTCAAACAGTCACCGCTGGGGGACACATGGAAACATAATACAGTGAGAATGATCTTCCTGTAGGGTCTCTACTCAACTGGAAGTGTCACATAGTCCTTCCTGTTCAGAAGGTCCCAACAGTTCACTTGGGTAGGTAGAGTCATTCTATAGCCTTGAGAGGCCATCCTTGTTATGAGGAGGTTAGGAGTGGCAAGGAAAAATAGTTTCTTTGGATTGTTCCCAGGGAAGAGCCCAAAGGTGCATTTTCCCATGTTCTGACATTTATTGTTCATCTTATGTGGCAACTACGCACAGGACCTGCAACACATGACACTGATAGCAAGATAAGGAATAATTCCTATAGCTTTTTAAGAATAAACATACCAATTACAGGGAGAAGGGGGATTGGTTGTGGTCAGTACCACAGGCAGGAAAGTGTTAATCCTCCCTCCTCAACCACAATCTCAGTAAAAAAAAATCACCACCACCCCCAAGACATGGAAATTAGCATTCAAATAAAAGCTAATTATGAAAAATCATTCACCCCCCCCCAATAGTAATTACTGAATTGTGGAGTGTATGTGTCTGTTGCTGGTTCCATGACTGGGGAGGAGAGATTTAAAACTCCCCTCCCCATGTACTGTTGTACAGATGGCTATCCCCTGCCACATCACACCTGGTATTTAATTCTTTAAAAACAATGTGGTTGCTAATCGTTTTGTTAGCGTCATATGTGCTTAGGGCCATGAGATTAAAGACTCTTGGTTCTAGCCCTGGCAGCTTCCTTTGGAAGAGGCTTGCATGAGCAATAAGAACAGCAATGTGTAAAGGAATAAGGGGTGTAGTTGGAACAGGCGTCAGCTGTCAGGAGAAAAGCGCAGTGTGTTGGGGGGGGCGAGAGAGAGAGAGAATGAGAGAGAACCACTGAGTTTGACAAGAGCTAACTGGGGCCATGACATGAATTGGCACCGAAATATCACAGGAATAGATGAGGGCAGATCTCCATCCAGGGCTGGTCGTGCTGATAAGCAAAGCCAGCCAACCACCTTATGCAGTAGACTTTGGGTGTTATGAAAGAGCAGAAATTTGTCCATTTTAATGTATTATTATTATTATTATTATTATTATTATTATTATTATTATTATTATTATTATTATTATTATTATTATTATTATACCACAAGGAGGGACACTTGTGGGATTTTCAATTTGACTTGGCCAGACTGAATGGGACGGTACTTTACTATCTGCCTTAGGCTAAATAATAAAAAAATCTGAGGCCAGTCCCATCTACACCGTAATTAGCAACTCCTGTCGATTGCACAGTTAGAACTGGATGGAATACCTGTGCCTTATGCTCAGGGAAACCTGAGATTGTCTTCATTGCTGGCTTGAGGAGATGTCAGTGGAGTGCCTTGTGATGGTCCAGCTAATAGTAGGCCCATGACATTTTGCGCCATGTATCTCAGTCTCAGTTGTCCATGTTAATTTCTCACAATACCCAGAGACAGCATCATAAATGGAAGCTCAGATGCAGCCAGCCAGCACAGGGAAGCCAGGGCAAGTGTCAGCATAGCAATGGCCTCTGTCCGAATGCTGAGAACTAGTTAGGGTGCTAGATCCATGGAAGGGTAGTGTGTGTGTGAGTGTGTGTGTATGTGCTAATGCTGGGCCTTTCCTGAGATCTCACTTTCGAGGTGTGTGTGTGTAACTTCTTAGTACCTAGAATTTCCAGGATTCTTTGCAGGAAGTCATGGAAGTTCAACTGTTTACCGTTTATCCT